AAAGGTCTGGGTATCTAAGTGTAATGTGACTTTACTGCTCCATGACTTTGCTTCCCCTTCTGGATACATTAAGATACTCATCTTATTTGGAAAAGGTTTTGATTTCTAATAAAAAAAAAACCAACATACAAGTTCTATTATAGGCTTTTGAAATTATTACGGACATATAGGTTTCTATATATCCAAGATAATTTTAATTTTAAAATTAATTAAAAATACTGCTTTTTATGAAAAAAATTCTCTTGTTCATTGTGAAGTGTGAGAAAAAAAATCATCAATCAAGATGAAGGAGAGAAAACAGAGGTTAGGCATATCCTTTTTGTTAAGTTTTTTCTTAAAAGCTGCTTTAAAAAGCAAGACTATACAGGACAACAAAATGTGGAAATAGGAGCACTCTCCCAAGTGTAGGTATGGAAGTATTTCTTTAGTGTGAATGGATTGGATTATGAAAGACAAAGTGTTGGTAGAATTGAGAATTTTGGAAGATTAAAAGGCAATGGGATAGGTTTTTACAGGTACACTGGAAATTGCACATAGGTCAGGAGAAATGTGGGGCTGCTGCTGGAAAAAGTGTGTGTCCTAATGATGAGAAAAAATGTACAAATACACTCAAGGCTTCCTCTCTCCCCATCTTCAGAAACAAGCTCTGCTCTTGTGCCTCCCAGGAAAGTTAGAGGAAGAGAGATTAGAGGGAGATAAATAAGGGAGAAGGGAACCAAGGTGGGTGTAGGCATGGATCCATGCTTGGATAAGACATATCCAAGCACGTTGAGGAAGCTGATCAACATCATTGTGAGGCTGTTCTGACACCTATGAAAAATCATGTCAGATGCCTGATCACTGAAGAAAGGCAAATGTGACATCTCTCTAGGAGCAACCTAACCATCAAGAGACTTTCCTGTCAGCATTCTTCAACAACAGGTAGAAATATATAGTCTTATGAGGATTAGTGGATTTAATTTTTTTTCTGCATTCAATTATACTGGAAAAAGAAAAGGAAAAAGTTATGCTCCTTTCTTTCAACTTTTAGAAAAGATTTGTTTTGTTTCTGTCCAAACTTGATGCTTATTCTCAAGTATCACATCTCCTAAGAAGAATGATGATTGGTTTCAAAAGAGTTTTTACCACATTTTTCAGTTAAGCCTTAGTCATAATACACAGGAGAGTATTCAAGATTGATGTCAAGCTGCAAAGTGCTGTAAGCATGACAAATCTTCACTTTAATTTTCAGAATTGATTTCCTTTTGAGGGGGTGTGATTTCCTTCTGTCTTTTCCCCTTGGCATTTACTGACTTGGGAATGTTTTGTATTTTTCCTTTATTGAGTAGAAATTTGTATCCAGTACTATTCCTGACTGATTTTTAAGAGGTCCTTTTTACAGCAGGAAAAAATTAAAGAAGATTTTAGTGTGACAGATGCACAGCCTCTTTTATAAGGGATAAAATATAATAATAAAACTACTTAAAAATCTGTAAAACCTTGGGTTTTGTCTCTACATCTGAACATTTACAAAACCCAGGTCAACTTGAGTTTCAGTTCTGTTTGCTGTAGATAAACATGAAAAAAGTGGAATCTGAAGTAAGACTTGAACTTAAAAATTAACAAAGAGATGCAATTTCTTCTTAGTCCTTTGTCTTTTTTGTATAATATGCATACAGATTTGCAAATATTTTAGTGTATTTATTGGTAAATAAATTTATTCTTTCTCTTAGTATATATTGTTGAGTTCCTAGTGAAAAGGTTAAAAAAAAACCAAAACACTTCTTTTGAAATCAAAAAACAGGCTTATTTATGTTTGATCTTGGAGTCCTTGACTTTGTACTGAGCAATCGTGCCAAGGGAAAAAAGCTGAGAAATGAATGTCAACATCAAAAAATTGCAATGGAAATTACTAGCTGAGTTAAAAACAGAAAGCCAATTCTATGTCCTCAATCCAGTTTGCACAGAATATTTAATGCCTCTGAAAATGGATAATTTCAAAAATGACATTAAAGTATTTTGCCTGTTTAGTCTAGTTTATCAGTGCTAATAATGTGTCATAATAAAAAATTGCATAGGTCAACTCATTCCTATCCTGAAAGTTTTAACTATGCCCCGGCATGAACCAGAATGTGTAGGTAGATGATTCTGACTCAAAAGTGTCAGTCCTAAAAGCTGAGAACTTTGTCCCTTTGGAATGATTCAGTGTGTGAAATTAGGAACCCAGGGCCTCCTGTCAGTCAGGCAAAGCCATTAAGCATCCCTGGGGAGTGATCCTGGGAGTACTCGTGCTCCAGAACACCACTTACTGTGAGCAACTTAAACAGGGATGTGTGACCTAATTCCTTCTTGGTTTGCCATAAATGGCCATAAACGAGTGTATAAAGCTCTGAGCACTTCCTAGAGGTGGATCACCTCACTTAAGCAGAGCTCATTCTTTGTAAAATGTTGTGCAGGGCTGCCATGCAGTGGTACAGTAGCTGATTTATGGAATTTCTAACTCAAGGAGACAGGTCATCTGGGCTGGGCGTTGGGTTCCATGTGAAAACATGTACTTTTAGCTATCAGCTCCACTCAGTTGTACAAACCCTCTAAAAATAAATATTAGTTGCAAAAAATAGCTAATCAGATAACTAATGGTATAACTATTTTCCAGCATTAAAAGCAGCCTGTAATCCATTAATGGCATTGAATTGCTTACCAGCTTTTACAAGGACAGCTTAGACAGTGGACAGCAGCTAAATTCAGAAGTCTAATCCACAAATTTAACTTCTCTGAAGGGTTCCATTGTCTGCTCAGCCTGAAGGAATCTGGACTAGTTCTATTCCTCCTATAAGGGATACTACCCTCCTAAAAATGGTATAGAAGAGTTCTAAGGTGTAGCCATTATATTTTCTGAAAAATTTTTTCCTTAGGATTTTTTCTCCTGAGAAGCTGAGAGGCCTCAGGAACAAAATGCAAACAATTGTTATCTGCTGCTGTGGAATGCAACAGGTGAATCTGTGATTGGTCTCATGTGGTTGTATCTAATTAATGGCCAGTCACAGTCAGTTGGCTCAGACTCTCTGTCTGAGACACAAGCCTTTGTTATTCATTCTTTCTTATTCTATTCTTAGCTAGCTTTCTGATTAAATCCTTTCTTCTATTCTTTTTAGTATAGTTTTAATATAATATATATCATAAAATAATAAATCAAGCCTTCTGAAACATGGAGTCAGATGCTCCTCTCTTCTCTGTTCCTTGGACCCAGGTGAACACTGTCACACCAACGGACTGATGCAAAGAGGAGAAAATCAGGGTCACATGGGATGGGGGCTGCAGTGAGATCTTTGTTCTAGTGTGAAAGCCTGGGGTCTGAGGGCAGATAATGGATTTAATGACTGTGTTTAATTATTAGCACTCCCTTCTCTCAACATGGAGGCTTTGAATGTTATGCATAGTTTTTTGTTGCACCATTTATTAATCTAGTAGCTATCTAATGTAGATGTCTGGAAGAGACCTGGGAACAGAGACACAGCTCTGTTCAGTGTCTTGTCCAAACCATACAGTGTGGAATCCTTTCTGTTTGATATCTTCAGTGCTCAGCTGCCCCAGGGCTTGCATATCCACTTTCCAGAGGATAGGGTACGTTATGACCTAACCTACTCTGTCTTGTAGCTTTGTAGCTAATAAACTCTCCTGGGGTGCTATGGGGTGATAATTCAGAGATTTTCAAATTCTGAGTAAGTCTCAAAGCAGAATCCTACCCTTAAATTGCCTATTAGTCTGCCATTTTGAAGCTTAGTTGGATGAACTTATTCCTGCAGCAGGTGAAATGTTTTGGATGATATATAAAGCCCTTGGGTAAAAGATACATCATAAATAAATGATAATGGTCAACATGAAAGTCTATTCACAGCAAGTATTGTCAATCAACATGAGCAAGTATTGAGAGAGATTTAAGGTTGAGACTTTTAAAAGAGCATAAGAAATCCATTTCCCTTCAATTTTCAGCAAGGGCTGAGGATATATATATGTAAACTAAACTGTTTTAAAAAATCCTAAATTCTCAATAGAGTAAAAAATACAGGATTTTATGCTGCAGGCTGCTGCTCATAGAAATGGTCTAATGTTGATATGTGCATTCCTTTTTTATCAGACCTTCCTGCATCTTAATATCTCTGGAGAACTGATTCTGTCAGGAGGATTCTGATCCTGACCGACTGTTGCCATGGTATTGGGTTATTCTGGGCTGTGATCAAGAAAAACAAACAAACTTGAGAAAGATACTGGCTTTAAAACATATCCTCAAGCCACAGTGCCTAAGACGAGTTTTTGAAAACTAAATCTTGATTTTTTGTGCAATGTGGCAGTAATTAAAAGCTTCTGAAAAGAAACATACCAGTAACAAGAAGCACTGCTGTGACAATAAACATAAAATGATAAAAATGCAGGAGGAGGAAATGGGGCCAATTCTTGCACTGTTTAAAATTGTTCATTCTCATTTAATGACATTACCACACACTGAAGTGAAACCTCCATCTTTTCTGAGACCCTTTAAAAAAGTAGAACTTTTTACAGATCGGATACCTGTTGTCTTTTTGATGTTACTGAGCTTTTGAATTGAGTGCATAATAAGGAATTTGTACCTGTTTCCAATTCCTAGGTAGCAATATAGTTTCTTCTACACCCGTTAATATTCATTCTGTGGCAAGTCACCTGTTTGTACTGGCAGCACGGAAGAAATTTCTGATAGTACATGAAATAGTATTTTCTGTATGCAGGCACTTGCATAATAAGCTCATATTTTTAGAGGACAGAGCTGCTTTGATGGGAAAAGAATAGAAAAAGTCCTAAGAGAAATCCTTGTTATTGGGGTTGATGAACCTGAAAGGATGCACAAATTCCAGCAAGGAGTGTTTGTATTACAAGAGTAATACAAACAATGTGAATTTATGTGGGGAAGTTTTCTGCAAGTTTGTCATTTACAGATGGATAATTTTGTTTGCCAGATTACTGAGCGTGTTCTTCCTGGTCTGCAGGCAGAATTCACAGCCATGAGGGACCAGTACATGCGAGGTGGAGAAGGCTTCATTATCTGCTATTCCATCACAGACCGCCAATCTTTTCAGGAGGCAGCTGAGTTTAAGGAGCTCATTTATCGTGTCCGGCACACCTACGACATCCCCGTGGTGCTGGTGGGAAACAAAATAGACCTCGAGGAGTTCAGACAGGTAAGAGGCTTCTCTGCTGGTTCTGGCTTGGCTTTGCTTGGTTGCCTCAGGGGTTTCTGCAGCATATGTTGTGCAGGGCTACTGAGAATTATCAGTGCAAGAAGAGGTTTAATCAAAGAACGACAAATTTGTAATGAATTAAAGTCTTTGTGGTGCCTTTCATTCATATGTTGGGGAACTTGAAGCAGCCTTGGCAAATCACATCTAAATTTTCTGGTTTTACTCGAAAAAACTTTGACTACCGTTGTCAAAAGATTTATATATATTCTATGAATATACATATGAATATGTTGAATATAACATAGAAAGAACTTCAATCAGGACCTTTGTAAAAAAATACCTTTGGTTTCTTTGACATTGCCAGCCATTAAACGGAGCTTTGTTTTTTTCCCCAAACATGCTAAATTTGATTAAATGTTTTTCAACCTCAGACTGAAAAAAAAAGGCAAAAAAAAGAAAAATATGAGAGACTACATTTGCCTGAAGATCCAGTGACTGTGCTATCAGAGTGTTCAGGTAAAAAGGGGACATGCAAGACTTGAATTCACTTTGATTCTTTTACAAGATTTCAGCTACCACCACCTAAAGAGCAACAGAATTTTTTCAACTACAAGGTCAATGACTGTAGCTCTCTCAATGTCTTTAATAATCTTTGCTCACTTTTTTCCTTTTGCTTCCTCTTTATTGTTTCTTCTCTCTTTCTACTTCTTCTTTATTGTTTGTGCTGCTGAGCTAGACAGAGATCACATTAGAATGTCTTGGTGTACTGAACAGAAAATATCTACGACTAGAACGACTTTAAAATATCTGACTTCTGTGCAGGCATATGTAACACTTAAATAAAATGGTGTTCTTTTGATTCATTAGCATCTGTGCTCACCAATCCTGTCAACTCTTTTCCACTTATCCTGTCACTCTTCTCACCATTTGGTTGTCTTCTTATTGTACCTGAAGAAAATCCAAGACAGCAGTGAGCTTGAAATTAGTCTTAAAGGTCTGATTATGTACATTTAAAACGTCACATGTGTCTTCCAGACCATTGGCTTCCTCCCCAAATCAGGCTATGAGAAAACCCTGGTGGTGACGATACAGCTGCAGTTTAACAGGGGCTACAAACACGGATGCCAGAACAGAAGGGGAGAGATGAGGGTTTGGGGAAGGATGTGGGTTCAGTTGTTTTGCTGAGAGAACTGGACATTCACTTGACCCCAAAGCAGGATATAATTGCTTACCTACAGCTACCCCTAGATGATGTTTCAGCAATGCTCTATTTCCTAATTGGTACAAAGACTCTTTCACCAGTCTTTGGCACGATCTCTTGCTGGTCTCAAATTTTGTTGAACTTTTATATTTTAATCCCTGTCAACATATATAAAAATATATGCCTGGTTTAAATACCTTTACATGCTCCTTTGTGATCTTGTCTGGTCTCACAAACAGGAAAATTACTGCTCATGAATGTCTGGATTGGATTTCACCTGCAGCATTTTAGATTAAGGGGTATGGGGGCCTTTTGGGAATAATATTATAAATTAAGCCTGTGAGATGTGATAAACACACTCAAAACTGTTCTATGAAGTCAACACTGATGATCCTGCCTGAATATGTGAACAAGGAAAATTCAAATTGTGCCCCTAAATTTTTAAAAGTTTTCAATGAAACAGAATTTAGGCCTTCAGAATGTTTTTCTCCACAAGCCTTGTACTAATGCCAACACATTTGGCAGTGTCAGAAGGGTTTTCTCAAGTACTGCAATCCAGACCTTGACCCTCAAGTCAAAGACTAGTAAGGTAGTGTAAAGTAGATCTCCTCCTTTAAATAAAGCCTTTGAATATGACTATGTGTCCATTAGCAAGTATTATGAACAAACAGTAGAGAAAAACAACTTTTTATGGAGTCCATATTTTGGGATATTGTTTTTAGATTTTTGACTATCTCTACTCCATGGCTGTTGTCTGCCTATTTAGTTGGGGCTGAGGTGTATAAGTTGTGCTCCTAGAATTTATCTTCACTTTAATTTCATCCATTTCAGATTTCACTCCACAGTTCAAAGCAAATACTGGTTAAGTGTGGGTGAAGAGCAGATACTGCTCTGACAACCTTCCTGACCTAAACTGAAGCTCTGAGAACCTTCCTGACCTAAACTGTGTGGGATGACACTTCTGTGCCCGGCTTTAAGCACATATTAATGCTTTCCAGTGTTTCATTATTTCAGAACTGGGACATCAGGCTGTGCTCTATGTTTAACAAACACTGAAATAAGTTTTATCTGTGCTCCCTGGTAAGGTTAAGCAATATCTAAGTAACTGGGTGAGCTCTGGGAAGGCAGATTGAAAGGGTTCTCTTCAAGGTCCTGCACTGTGGTTGCAGCTTCATTAAAAGCATTTGGATGGTGGAGAGTGACAGCCAGCTAACTCTGGAGTGACAGGCAGCAATGAGCTGGTGATGTAGGGCATTAACATATCAATGAACAAACAGGGAGGTACACAAGCACATCAAATTCAAAGAGCTGAAAAATAGTAGGTGTCAGAATGCAATCAGCCAGGTTGGAATTTGACCAGGGCACCAGGGATAATATTGTTTCTTTGTTTAATGACATTTTTCTTCTATGAGTTTCATTAAAACAACTGTAATGTTATTAATGTTATTTCAGGACATAACACTAAGTTCAACATTCATGAGCATCATTTGCATTTAATGACAATTCTGCAGCAATTAGATGGGCTGTAGTGGCTTGGCCAGATAGAGCTGTTGTCTGAAAAGTGAATCCCTACACTGCGCAGTTAATGATGTATGCTGCTTTCTTCAAATCTATCAACAGGACGACTAGAAAAAAAATTATTCTGCAATTAAAATTGCGATTTAAGAGAAACACTGCTGAAAACCATAACCCAATGAGTTTATTATTTTTAAATGATATTTTCATTTTATAATGGCTTCAGTGAAATTATAGTTTTTATCTGTGCATGTGATTTCTAATGTTCCAAGAAATGGCTTTTTCTGTGCTCCTTCTTAAAGCAAGTTTTAGTTATATTAACCAGCCCAAAGAATAAAAACTTTCAATTTTCTCTGAACAAGATGGGAAAAATTGTGCAAAAACTGGATAGAAAAGAGAGTAAATCATTATCTTGATGTTTATGTGGTGGCAAGGCGCCCTCCATCCCCCTCCGAACAGGCATGAATTGCTTGGGCATTCACAGAATCATGGAATGGTTCGTATTGGAAGTGACTTCAAAGCTCATGTCATTCCAACCCCTCTGCCATGGGCAGGAGCACCTTTCACTAGACCAGGTTGGTCCAAGTCCCATCCAACCTGGCCTGGAACATTTATCCATGTCCATTCCCTGATTTTTCAGCCATTGCTCGAAGAAACACTTAATTATTACATGCATTCTATTCCATAGCTATTTGATAGAAAAATACAGAACTAAATTATTAGGTAACATTTTAATTTCAGTGTTTTCAAACAACAAAGTCATTAGATCAGTAAATGTATGCTTGCATATCTTTAATTATCATCAGGTTTTCAGAAACATGTAGGACCAGCTGTTCAAAAATGCTGATACTTTCACTTTAGGTAATGATGATACTTTCACCTTGTCTCTTTACTCCAGATGAACACCTGATTCACACTGTTTAAAACATGTGTAACAGATAAATATCTAATTAGAACATATTCGTCTTTAAAAGATACGTTAAAGCAATTCAAGCCCATGCCATACTAATGTTAAATTGCAGCTTTATATAAAAAAATAATATGTAGGACTTGTGGCATTACTGAAATGTTGTTTAGAAAATATACAAAAATGTTAACCTACTAATCACTCCGAAATAATAATTATATTGAGAAATTCAGAGGGGAACTAACTACTCCAGCTCCTTTTAACAATGTACTTTAAGTCTGAGCTGAAAAACATTATTTCTAGAAGATGTTTTGAACTTTTAATGTAGATGTTAAAACCCCTGTGGAAATTCTATCCATGAAGAAATATCACAGCCTTCATGGAGCAGTTTTTCCTATATTTGTTTTTTTGACCCCAGAGGAATCAGCTGTGGGCTCAGTTGAGTCCATGGATAACATGCTGATGTCCATTTCCTCTGAAGTTAGGAGGGCAGCTCATGTTTCTTCCAGCTCCTGCCCTCTCTGGGAAGCCTGTCATCAAAGCTGTTAGTTTTGCCAGTATGGTTTTTCTCCTGAAAAGAATTATGCAGTTGTTTACCTTTCTACCCATAAGTTATCTTACTGGTTTCAAGCAAAAATCTGAGAGCAGCAGTGCCTTTGAAAGCATTTCCCTCTACAACCCCCTCCTTTAGCAGGAAATAAAAAATCAACATGAGATCTGCCTTTTCCATCTAGAAGTGTAGTGGTGGAACAAGGGGAGTGTGTTCAAAGTGAAAAAGAGTAGGTTTAGATCAGATGTTAGGGAGAAATTCTTCCCTGTGAGGGTGGTGAGGTCCTGGCACAGGTTGTCCCATCCTTGGGAGTATTTAGGGCCAGGCTGGGCATGGCTTGGAGCACCCTGGAGCACTGGAAGGTGTCCCTGCCCAATGGGAAATGGGAAAACGGGTGTTTTTAAGGTCCCTTCCAACCCAAACCATTCTGTGGTTCTGTGACTCTATGATTTTACACAGAGCAATATATTACTCGGAGTGCAAATGTATTACAGAGCTTTCATTGTAATTTTTTCCCCTGAAGTCTTATTATACCAGAAAATAATTTTCAAACCAGGATTACAGTGAGATTTTGTGATCAGAACCAGCTGAATATTCTCACTTCAATGAGACTTTACTCTGTATTTTGCTCTAGACAGGGCGACTGGTTATCAGACAATGTGAATGTCAACTTTTAGGTTTTCATTTTGACAGTTGCTCTATTTTCACGCTTCTCAAACCTTGAAATACCAGTTGAGTCTGAGACAGACAAAAGTTTTTGTTTTGTTTTGCTTTGCTTTGTTTTTGTTTAGCTTTATTTTCTTAAAAACTTGTTTCGGTTTGGTTTC